ATGCCCCAAATGGTCTGTGATCAGGATATTTGAAAGACTGTTCAAAAAAGTCTGCCAGCCCACTGTACTCCTCATATAAAACACTATTCTGCATTTCATGATTGGCAAAAGGTTTCTCTCAGGATGCAGCCTTTGGGGCGGTGGCCCTAAGGATCTGGAAATACTTTCCAGAAGAGGTTTGGTTCCCTGCCCTCCCAAACCTGTGTGAACTGTGAAGACTGGCTTCATTTCACCACATTTTAGATGTAGAGACTGTCATGATGAAGCAAAAGAAAAAGAAAAAAGAAGCAAAGTGTGCTGCTTATATACTGCCTCATAGTGCTTAAAGCACTCACTGGGCAGTCTACATTTCAAATATGCAGGCTACACATTGCACACTGACACACACCAGCAACCTGGGTACTCAGTTTATTGAACTCAATAGGATAGAAGGATGGGTCAACCTGGAGCTGGCTACCTGAGCCCATCAGGCTCAAACTCAGGTTGTAAGCAGAGTCTTGACTACAGTACTGCAGTTTAACCACTACATCCTAGCACTATAAAAATTTACAGTATAGTCTCATATATAATAGCAATTTCTTTTTAAGAGTGGCTTCAGAGCAGCAAATTATCATAATCTGTAGCAGATTGTGAGAATGTATAATAAACTTGCATAATACTTAGCAGCTTCTTTTTCTTCCACGTTCAGCACGGACAATGGAATAGGGTTCTTTACCACATCAGAGGATAGCAGGCCAGGGTAGGGGTGTGTGTTCAGGATTTACCACATGAAAGCAGGCCAGGGTAGGGGTGTGTGTTCAGGCACACACACTTTTTTCCTCTCAAGATGGGATAGTCAAGGGGCTAAGAAAGAACAGGCTCAGGAGATGATATTCAGAACAGAAGAAATGTGGCTTGCATAGGAAGCAACAGGAAGAAGGGGAGGGTGTCTGAAGGATTCTCTATACAGTATAAAAAAAGACCCTGTGCTTAGTGACAGATACTGAGCATGCTCCACACAAACACCCAGTTTTAAAGCTGAAGCATGTAAGATTTTATTCTCTCCCCCCCTCCATCACATATCCACTTGCAATTACTTTTTAGATTAAACTTTTCTGGATCTTTTAACATAGGTCTCAGGTCAAAGGCTATATATAATGTTTATTAAAATCTTTAGAAATGCATATTTTGAAATCCACTGCATTTGTTGGCATCTCAGGGCCACCAGTGTATATTGGATTTCCATCTGAGGGAACGCTGGAATAAGGGATCCAACCTCAGATCACTCACCTCGGCCATCAGAAATACCTGCAGTCTTTCTCCCTCCAGGACCCAGAGACTAAGAGAAGGAGATTTCCCAGTGGCATCTTGAGAGAAGGGGTACAGGGGAGGCTGTAGCTCCAAAGGATATATATATATATATAGTGTGTGTGTGGGGGGGTGTTAAAATAAATGTGTGATCTTTGAGTAGAAGAAAAATGTGGGTTAGTTTGTGAGTCACAAGATACAAGCAAAGTGAGCTTTCAGCATCTTCCAGAACTCGCCTTCTAATTTAGATATTATAAAATATAGGGCACTAGAAAGAATAAGAAGCTTATATGTGTGTGTGTGTGTGTGTGTGTGCATACACACGTACACACACACACAAACATACACAAATACATCATAGTCATGGTTCTTATGGGCAAATTGTTGCTTGCCTTCAGCCATACATCCAAATCAGATGGCAATTTATCTCAATTCTAGAGTTGGTACAGATTAATTCCTTCCCACTGATATTAACAAGAGAAAATTGCTTTTTAAAAAGGAAAAACTCTTGCTATGGGGTGGGAGTTAAAATGTTGCTCCTTTCTCACTTATATGGTGCTGGTATGAACCTGGCAGAGCCTTAATTGTGTCTCCCAGACCTTGGAAACATTACTTTTCTCCTCCTACTTCTGTAATCCTCTAGCTATTTTAGCCTGTAACCCAGCTGACTGAGGCTTTTGGGATCTGTAGTCCAAAATGGAACTTCTCTGAACCCCAGGCCCCCAAAGAGAGGAGCTAGGATTATCCTGCTTGAAATTAGTAATGTTGTGAGAAATTATGTTGCAGAAATATTTGTTTAAATACAGATGTGACTTTCAGTGCAGATTTTCGGGGGACAAACAAAAAAAATGACCAATTGATGCAGAAATCCCATCAACGTGACTTGTGAATCTGCAGATTGCGATGTAGTGTGGAAACAGCTCTTACTGATATGTAGTTTTAATTGAAGAGAGAAGGAATATGCTGAGGTTAACAAACCAATGGACTAGAGGGTAGCAGCAGGACAAGGCACTTGTTTCTCTGAAACTCTTAATTAACAAGTGGAAGAAGACTGTGTGCAGCACACACTGAAAAGAAAAGAGAGACCAGAGCATGGAAAAAGAGGATGCCAGGGGGCCCATCGAAAATCAAGGGGAACTGGAAGACTCAGAGTAGTGAAAAGGGATGGAGGCTGATTCAGGGGGTGGGGGTGGGGGACTGCCTGTGTTTCTTTCTGTTGTATCTTGGCTCTGCTTCCCAATCATCATTACAGGGATCTGAAGGAGACACACTGATCACACTAGGCTGGCTTCCTTCTCTGTAAGTAAAATGGGGATATCAATCCTTGCCTTCTCTGTAGGACTGTGGTTAGGATTAATTAATGTTTGCTTAGCACTTTGAAAACATAATGCAATACTCTGGGGGTATTGTTTTTGGAAGCACACGTGCAGATAAGATCTCTTTGTAACCTGCAGCCTAAGGCTGGCACGCACACACAAACATACACAAATACATCATAGTCATGGTTCTTATGGGCAAATTGTTGCTTGCCTTCAGCCATACATCCAAATCAGATGGCAATTTATCTCAATTCTAGAGTTGGTACAGATTAATTCCTTCCCACTGATATTAACAAGAGAAAATTGCTTTTTAAAAAGGAAAAACTCTTGCTATGGGGTGGGAGTTAAAATGTTGCTCCTTTCTCACTTATATGGTGCTGGTATGAACCTGGCAGAGCCTTAATTGTGTCTCCCAGACCTTGGAAACATTACTTTTCTCCTCCTACTTCTGTAATCCTCTAGCTATTTTAGCCTGTAACCCAGCTGACTGAGGCTTTTGGGATCTGTAGTCCAAAATGGAACTTCTCTGAACCCCAGGCCCCCAAAGAGAGGAGCTAGGATTATCCTGCTTGAAATTAGTAATGTTGTGAGAAATTATGTTGCAGAAATATTTGTTTAAATACAGATGTGACTTTCAGTGCAGATTTTCGGGGGACAAACAAAAAAAATGACCAATTGATGCAGAAATCCCATCAACGTGACTTGTGAATCTGCAGATTGCGATGTAGTGTGGAAACAGCTCTTACTGATATGTAGTTTTAATTGAAGAGAGAAGGAATATGCTGAGGTTAACAAACCAATGGACTAGAGGGTAGCAGCAGGACAAGGCACTTGTTTCTCTGAAACTCTTAATTAACAAGTGGAAGAAGACTGTGTGCAGCACACACTGAAAAGAAAAGAGAGACCAGAGCATGGAAAAAGAGGATGCCAGGGGGCCCATCGAAAATCAAGGGGAACTGGAAGACTCAGAGTAGTGAAAAGGGATGGAGGCTGATTCAGGGGGTGGGGGTGGGGGACTGCCTGTGTTTCTTTCTGTTGTATCTTGGCTCTGCTTCCCAATCATCATTACAGGGATCTGAAGGAGACACACTGATCACACTAGGCTGGCTTCCTTCTCTGTAAGTAAAATGGGGATATCAATCCTTGCCTTCTCTGTAGGACTGTGGTTAGGATTAATTAATGTTTGCTTAGCACTTTGAAAACATAATGCAATACTCTGGGGGTATTGTTTTTGGAAGCACACGTGCAGATAAGATCTCTTTGTAACCTGCAGCCTAAGGCTGGCACGTGGAGCTGATTGAATGGAGTGGAAAATTTAGCCTTGTGTGGAGCCAACCTTTTCTGAAACTTGGAGCCTTTAAAAAGGAAGGAAGAAAGGAAGGAAGGGCACATAATAGTCACACAGTGTGAAATGGGCAAGGGTGAGAGCCAGAGGTGGAAAATAATCCATTTGGGCTTTGGATATGTAATTGTTAATGATGATCTGCTCAGAGGCTGTTTCAATTCAACCAAGGTGGAAACCATATCCTGCCTAGAAAGATGCAAATGTCCTGAGTATTTTGTAACTCTGAAAATATCATTCATCATTTATGTAAAAGGGGAAAAAGCTGGACACAGTAAGATGCGGGGCATTCTTTGCCTAAATTGTCCTGAGGACATTTGTTAGAACTGTTACCAAAATAAATAGTCAATTTAAAAGTCACTACAATTTTTATTTTAAATTGAATTTGAGGAGGGAAAACACAAGCCTTCAAGCATCAAATATAATAAAGTTGACTGGTCACTCAATAAAACCTGCCAAATGCAAACCATTCAAGTTGCATAGCTTATGGCTATAACCCTAGAAGCTTTGCTAGCTTGTAGATCTCACTCAAATCAGTGAACTTATCCCATAAAAGAAATGGTTTATGATAATGCCATAAAACTATTGGGTTGACTTTAAGTCTAAAATTGCAATATAATTAAATGATGTTGCTTTATATATCAGCTTGGGCTGGCTACCTACTAAACAGAAGTACCTTAGCATAACTAATTTCCTGATTCCCTAATCCTTAAGGCTGTTCTGAAGGAATTGTTGCAAGGCATTTATTTATATTGTTGCAAGGAAGCACAGACATTTTTAATGAGAAATATATTTAGTATTTATGAATACAATTAGTCTCTTGATAAACATCTTTTTATTCAGGCAGGCATTTGGAACAAAGGCTGATTTAGTGTTGAAGGGAGTGTGTTTGACTGGGCCCTGGCTGTATCTTTTATTACTGTGGTTTTTATATCATGTTTTACATTTCTCTCTATCACAGTTTTGTTTTTAATCTTTGCTTTATTGCTGTTGAGCACATTTTTGGCAGAAAGGTAGGTTAAATAGGATTACTCACCTGCTAGAAACAGCTGGAACAAGTTTGTTAGCAGGACATCCATGGCATGAAGATCTGGAACAAGACCACTCACAAAGATTAGCCCCAAGTAACACAAAGAGCTCAGGATATACCTACTGACACTTCAGCCTTGAACTGTTTCATAAATTTCCACCTGGACATTTTCTTCTTCTTTACGGCTGGTCATTGTTGTGCAGGTATTTGGAAGTCTTATGAAACTATGGCTTAAATCTTGTTCATGCAGCTGCATTGCTTAAGGCTGATTATGTCATAAACTCCAATTTCCACCCACCAAAGGTGCTGAGGCTTTCATGAAATCTCTTTGGTTATGGGTAAGCTACTGAGGGCCATCAGATGTGGGGGCATATATATTTTCTGAGACAGCTGGAATTTTGAAATTAAAGAACCTCCTCCTCATCAGCATTAAGCAGTGTAATTTGTAGAACAGGATTTGACTTTATAATTCACGGGATTTGTTTGTTTGTTTGTTTGTGGGGTTGGGGGTAGTGGTGGTTAAAACTGCAAGTCTGAAAAGTTATTTTCTGGAATTCCAGAATTCACCATTACCCTGTTTCCCCCAAAATAAGACCTAACCTGAAAATAAGCCCCAGTATGATTTTTCAGGATGCTTGTAATATAAGCTCTACCCCCAAAATAAGCCCTGGTTAAGTGAAACCCTGTCCTCCACCATTGTGCAGCAACCAGAAGAAGATGACATGACTGTAAAATAAAACATCCCCTGAAAATAAGCCCTAATGCGTTTTTGTAACAAAAATTAATATAAGACCCTGTCTTATTTTTGGGGAAACATGGTAGGACAATGATCATGCTGGCTGGAGGATTCTGGGAGTCATAGTCCAAAAAAAAAGGAAACTCATGAGTTTCAGTTACAATGGTATAAAGGACACATATGTAGAGATGTAACCTCCACACACTGTACAGCATATACAGTGTGGTTCCCCACCACCACCATCTCCCAATATCACTTTTCCAGAGGCCGGCTTTGCCAATCTCCAGCCTTCCTTTCAAGTGCTACAGATATATACAATGTGTCTACTTCATTCGAACTCTGTCAATTCCACAATTTTTCTGCAGTGTTTGCTGCAGATATATTACTCATTCATATACTGTAATGTGCATCACAGAGGACTGATACAGGCAGATCTATAGCTTCCTTTCCTTCAGTTGTCTTAGCACAAAGAACAGAGAAATATTGGGTTTCTGTGAGACAAACCTGGCAAAAGGAGATTTTTTCCAACTCAGTTCTGCAATCAGGCTGGAGAACTTGTTGGCCCACCAACACATTAGTGACATTGACAAGGCTAAGAAAATGGACTGCGCATTTATAGGAGAAACTGGGATATCCAATGTTACAACAGAGAACCTTGGAATAAACAAAGGCGAGGTTTGGAAAGAATGCAATCGTTCATGATTCCAGGCAGAAGCCAGTCAAATTGGGAGGGAGGAGGTATGGATAAGGATTGCCACTGAAAGCAAGTCTTTTTTTTTTTTTTTTTGGCTTCAGATCTTTTTCTCTGCTATTGCAATTCTGAGCTATCATAATCATGATGATACAACTGGATATCCAGTGGCCTTGTGAAGCATGGCAGTCTAGACAACCCTAATTTGAGAAGTTTAGCGGAGGAAAGAGGAAAATTACTGCTTTAGACAAAAGAATCCTACAGAAATTTCTGTGGGCTTTAAAGATATAAACAACAGGAATTCAGAATCACACGAGAAGAGAGATGATGAAAGAAACAGAATGCAGGAAGTCAGAAAGGGGCTGGGGAAAGCCAGGGTCAGATGGGATCCCTTCCAGGATATGAAAGGAAGTGACTAAACTGATACATGAATGTTACCTAATAAAGAGACAAGAATGGAGAGAGGAAGACAACAAAAACTGGTGAGATACTATTCTAAATACTTGTTTAACAGATCAGGATCTTGAAAAGCAGGGCTCTATAGCAGTTCTTCTAGTAGAGGAGACACTGGTTTGAAACAGAGAGAGAAAATGAAACTCACTAGGAGTGAGAAAGGGATGGAAGAATGACGAAGAGTGAATCTCTTATAGGTCATATAGGGATAGACTGGTGGGCTTGGTGGTTTGCTCATTGTAAGAGAAGGACTCAGGCTACACCACCTAAGAAGCCAAGCAGGGAAAATACTTTGTCTTTTCTCGGGAATTTACAGACCTTCATTAAATAGGTCAGAGGGTAATGTAGGTGAATTGGCTTGTTAAAGTCCTAAAGGGGCTGTGCCCTGCAAATCCCCTTTTGGTCTGAGCTAAATGTTTTAAGAGTATCTGATGAGATGTGGGACCAGCGCTCAAACATTATGTGCAACCCTGAAAGGCATTCTTGGTCGCTGCTCTCCAGGTATACATTATCTTCCAAAGGCAGTGAAAGGCTGTTTAAATATTTAAAGACAGGAGGTGGGAAAGGGTTTCTTCTCTTTGAGTGTATATCTCTGTGTTGTTCTTCACTTGTTTCATGAGATTCAGGTGCAAACAAAAGTTGGGAATGCCAAACACAAGTGCAGAGACAAATTGTGAAGTGCAAGAGCTCATCGCACTGTTTTCCCCATAGTGTAGCTACAGTTCCCAGGAGCATTCACAACCACAGACAAATGTTTTAACAATTGGGTTCATCATACTCAAAATGGTGAGTGAGGCATCGTCCTCTGATGAAGGTGCAGGACAGCCAGCCAATCAGTCTTCCAAACCTGATGTTTTAGAGGGTACATCCTGGACACTCAATGACCATTTCTGTCTTTCTCCATTTCCAAGGTTGGGAGAAAGGCAGCAGCATAACTGACATACCTGGAGAATCTTGGGTAAAGGGCTAAATAAAGAAATACTATCCCTGCTGGTAGCTTTCCTCATTTCGAGCTCTCCTTCAGAAAATTCTATCCTGGTTTGTGGGATGGTAGAGGGTGGGTCACTGCTGCTAGAAGGTGCTTGGAGCACAGAGAGGCTTCTAGGTGGATCTCTTCAGCTATGTTTGCACCATCACATGTCTTTTGAGAGAAACTGATGGGATCAAAACATTGCACTCTGCACAGATCCACTCAGAGAGAATGATCTGATTGCTAGGAAGCAACCAGGAGCACTCAGTCAAGAATTTATTTCTCTTGGGAGTAAGTAAGAAAGGCTGCTTACAACAGGAGGAGGGAAAATGCTGGTTTGAACAAGTCCTAGGACACTCCAGGTGGCATGACCACTGCCATATTGATTAGGGGTTCTGGGAGCTGTAGTTGAAGGCAGTAATTTTACCAAGCTCTGTAGCAATTCTAATTCTTTTTAAAAGGGGGGGGGCAGAAGTATTTGCATTTGGTCAAAAGGCCTTATATTGTTTTGCAGAGATATTTTACCAATGTGTATATAATGGATAGCTTTTTGTTGTGTCATATAAATGTCCTCATCTTGCAACTGGCATGTTTTGCTCTGTGGTTGGCCATTGGAAAGTCAATATGGACTGGAATTGTGAGTCTTATTGCTGAGACAATCTGAGGAAATCTCACAGTGGGAAGGGAAATAGATTGATTGCTGGAAATGATCATACCTCTCACTGTTAAAGATTCATGTCTAATTTGACTGTTGGCAAAACAGCTCCTGCTTGGGTGTGAATCTAGGCAGCCTGGGCCAGCAATTCTCAGTGGGTTTAGATGTTTCGTTGGTGGTGGAAGGTGCTTTCCTAATTTCCCTGCAAGAAAATGCTAAGAAGTGACTCAGTACCTTTCAACACCTGCAGAGGAATCTTTTACCTTCACCTAGGTAGAAACAGATTAGTTTGTCAGTTTAGGTTTTCTACACATTCACTCTGTTTAGAGTCCAAATTATTTCCATCATATTTATTTTTTAAAAAGAAAAACTGCCAGTGTTGTTCAGCTCTAATCAAGAATGGGATAAATGCTTTTTTTCAATTAACTACTGTACCCTGTAGAAATTGGCAGATACTAGTATTTTGGGTATGGAGGCGAATGTATTGTATCTGCCTGCTATGTAGCTGTTAAAGATGAAAGAATAAAATGGTGGCAATTTCAACTGAGGGTGGGGTTACATGTCAAAAAAACTCCTAGATTTGATTCAGGTTTAGCATGCTTGAAATTGATTTTAAAACATTTTAAAACATAAAAATGCAGTTTTTAAAACATAAAAATGCAATTATTATTATAGAGTATTTTAAATAAAACCTGATACAATAAGAAAACCCTTTTGATTCACAGTGGCATGCATTCTCTTTCTAATTATTTTCTTCACAGTGGACTTTGTATTTACCTGAACTGCATTTCCTTGTTTCTATGACAGAATTCCTCATTTATCTAAACCGTATTGGTGATGCCCCCCCATTTCATTGTTTGTAGCCATAATAAATACATTTTTCAAATTCTCATCCCTTTATGTTATATTGCGTGTTGTGGGGGAAAGGGTGTGTCTATACAAGTGTAAATACACATTGATTTTACAGTTGCTCAGAAGTTCTTTTACATAGATCTTACATATACTTCCCTATGCTGAGTTTCAACTCTGAGTTCCTTGAGGAAATAAAAATAAATATTAATTTACTGCTAGCCTGCCAACCATTAGTTATGGAAGTAAACACAAATTTTCTTCTACTGACAAAACAGGAAGGTTGCATTAGTGAATAATTGCACTGCTATCCTGATCTGGCACAGATGTCTACTACAAATACGTCTTTGGTTTCCAGAAATGTTCTTTTAAGCAGTTACAAGAGAGAAGGTTTTTTTTTTCTTCCTGTGGTTCATAAAAACCAACCACTCATTAAAGCTCCCTCTCTTGAAGCCCAACAATGGAATAAAGCAATATTAGCTGCACAAACTGCCAAAATACAAAGGATGCACAGTTTTATTTTTCAGTGGTGGAGGGAGGTTAAAAACAGGAAGTTTGCTTATTGGAAATGCTTGTCAACAGGCTCTGGCCTCGCACTGTGTAACTACCACTATCTGGTCCTGGATATACTCTCTTTTTTGCCCGTTTAGCTGGCAGAGACAGCTTCCTTCCCTTCTCTTTGTTCTGTGCTCAGTTTTGGACATAGGCACACACTCTCGGTCTCCATTCGGACTAAGCTGGGAGGCACAGTAAACAAACAGCAAGAGGCATGTGGCTCAGACCTTCTGCTGTTTGCAAACAGCCGGGCTGAATTTGTGAATGAGTTGTGTATTTTTTTTCTTCTACTGACTGTTCGAAACTGGATGCACCCAGATATAAACAGCCTGGCTGAGTTTTCAGGTGCAAAGATTTTTTTCCCCCATACCACAAACTGCTTTTTACACACTCACATGACTGCTTGGTTTCCTTTCCTTCTCTAACTTCTGCTCAGTCAGGTTTTCTCTTGCAAAAATCCCAGTAACCTTTTATTGATATTTTGTGCTACCATTTTCAGGGGAGAAACAGGATTGATTTGGAGGGTCAATGTTCAATTGATCTAGCACTAATAAAATATTGGCCTCCTGAGCAATTGGATCTGATTCAGTTCATTAGTTAAAAACAGACTCACCTTCTTTCTTTACAAAATAAGCATGAGAAATATTTTAATGCCATGTAGGATTGATTTGACAATGTTGTTTGACAAAATTATTCTCCAAGCTCTGAGATGAGTGGATAATATTGATGTGGAGATCAGGGAAATAATACAATTCCTTTCTGCTCCTGAAGTCAGTTTGATGCAGCTTGGTGTACTGTATTCCTTTTGCCACCTTACAAGTGAAACAGCTTTCTACTGACACAGGAAACAATGCAAATATATAATCTAGTGATTTGGCTATAGAGTTTATGCTATTGTTGAAGTGTTATTGTTTTTAAACAACTTCTTGCTCTCCTTTTAGGTCTGAGGTGTTGACAATGGAAGCAACACACATCAATATGTCACAAGCCCCTCTAGTGAACGGCAGCATTAGTGCCAAGCTCAAGAGAAGCAAACCTCGGGTGATGTCCAAAAGTGGTCACAGCAATGTGAGGATCGATAAAGTAGATGGCATTTACCTTCTCTATCTCCAGGATCTATGGACCACGGTCATTGACATGAAGTGGAGATATAAACTTACTTTATTTGCAGCTACTTTTGTAATGACTTGGTTCATTTTTGGAGTTGTTTACTATGCCATTGCATTTCTTCATGGAGATCTGGAAGGGAACAAGTTCCCCCAGAAACATGTTCCCTGCGTTATGAATGTCGACTCCCTCACTGGGGCGTTTCTCTTTTCTTTGGAGTCCCAGACGACAATTGGTTACGGCTTCCGGTTTATTACTGAGGAGTGCCCTCATGCTATTGTCCTCTTAGTGATTCAGTTGGTTGTAACAACCTTGATTGAGATCTTCATCACGGGGACCTTCCTGGCCAAAATCGCGAGGCCTAAAAAGAGAGCTGAGACCATAAAGTTCAGTCATTGTGCTGTCATAACGAAACACAATGAACATCTTTGCCTTGTAATTCGGGTGGCAAATATGAGAAAGAGCCTTCTGATTCAGTGCCAGCTGACTGGGAAACTTCTGGAGACCTACGAAACGAAAGAGGGAGAGAGGATTCTACTTAACCAAGCCAGTGTCAAATTCCATGTCGACTCCTCATCAGAAAGCCCTTTTTTGATTTTGCCTCTGACTTTTTACCACATATTGGATGAGAATAGTCCTTTAAGGGGTCTTACGCCCCAGAGCTTAAAAGAAAAAGATTTTGAGCTTGTTGTGCTCTTGAACGCCACAGTAGAATCAACAAGTGCTGTTTGCCAGAGCCGGACTTCATATATTCCGGAGGAGATCTTCTGGGGCTTTGAGTTTATGCCAGTGATTTCCCTCTCACCAAATGGGAAATATGTTGCAGATTTTAGTCAATTTGAGCTGATTAGAAGAAGTGCAGATTGTACCTTTTACAGTATAGACTGTGAAAAGCAAAAACTCGAAGAGCAATATCGAAAGGAAGACCAGAGAGAGCGAGAACGCAGAACGATGTTTTTACAGCAAAGCAACGTTTGACCTCTTATCCATCACAAATTATAACAAATGTTTATACGTTGTACTGCCTGGATTCTTTTTCCTGAAAATGGAAAAGCATCACAGTTTTATCTAAACAGCTGCACTGTGGAGGGTATCCATCCCTTTATAACCGGGGCTGGTGACTACTTTAAGTGGGGGCTTACATCTGACCCTTCCAAAACCTCACCAGGGGTGGTACTGGCACCTCTGTGGATGCCAGTGTCAGCTGTGGTTGCTCTCTGTGGTACAGATGAGTGTCAGAACACCTTCCCTTGCTACAGAGAACTACCAGTCTTCAGGGCAGAGTGTCTCCTTCCCTCCTGTAAGGTAAGAGGAAATGACAGCAGTAGAGATGCAAATACAACTCTGAGGACCATGTATGACCCACAGGCTGCAGGTCCACCACTCCTCTTTTATCAGAATGCATTAATCCAGTGTTCTTTTTCAACTGTACAGCTATTTTCATATGTGAGAGGCCATAACTGAGTAGCATTTGCTCCTCATCTCCACCTGGAACTGACTGCCAGGGATTGAACCTGGGCCAGCTGGCATACAAAGTGCCTGCTCGGCTATGGAACTACAGCTGCTTCTTGTCTTTAAATGCTCCTTCCTATGGCAACTTTTGTAGCAGACAATGCTGATTTTCAGATGTTGGATGCAGTCCGATATACTGCATAAATTCTCCAGATATTTATTTGATGTAGTTTAGTACTATAAGCAGGATTCAGTTGGTTGTGAAATATTGTATATTCTCATGTATGTTATCCATTTCTTTCCCAAGGCTTTTTCCTGAAAATTTGTTTGTTGTTTGGTTTATATAGAAAAATGCTGGTTAAAATCCAGTTGCCTAGTGTAGTAAATTCAATAGTGTAGGCCTATTGAATCAATGGGGATTTAGTAAGTTGCAGTTAAAGTAGCTGCAGTGAGAGTAGGCTATTTCAACCAAGGGAACTTATGGAGATATTGACTCACTAAATTCCCATTGATTTAATGAGCCTACTTGAGTGTGATTTACTACATTAACCAAATAGGATTTTGGCCACTGTAGTTAGGAACCTGATGTCTAATTCCTAACTACAGTGGCCAAAATCCTGTTTGGTTAATGTAGTAAATCACACTCAACTATATGTATGTATGTATAGATAAACATTGGGAGAAAAGTACAGTATTTGGATAATAAATACTTTATGCCTGTCCCAGTTCAGTGGCAATTTGGACTCTGTGGTTGCACAACATCCTCCTTTATGACAATGCTGAATGCCCCCTAACCCAGTCTTCCAAAAACCATGATCCTTAGGACCACAGAAAGATTTTCCACACTAATCCCTAGACTGAAGATATCTCCCTCTGACCAGTGTAAATTTCTATGTGATGGCTGAAGATTAAAGGAACGCATTAGAAAGGCAGCAGCAGGGGAGGAACGAAGGGGTATCTGGGTATCTAGCATTGCCTTGGATCCTTTCAGAGAAACAGTTCAGCAGAGTAAGTCAAGCGGCACAGTCAGAAGCAGAGGCTGGCACAGATTGGCTTGAAGCAAATGTCTGCCTCTTGCTTCCCAGTTCCTTCAGAAGCAAGAGGCAAAACAAAACAAAATGCTGTAGGAAATTGGTGTTGTTGTTTCTTTCTCACCATGTGCTGTGCAAGTCTAGCAATCAGACTTACCCAGAAATGCAGATAATTAGACCATAAATTTAATCTATCTGTTTCTTTCCCTGTCTTTCCCTCTTTTACTTCCCCCCTCTTCCTCTTCATTTGCCTCCTCCCTCATTCACAACACTTTTACTTTTATTGACTATGTAAAGCATTACAACAGCATATTTTAAAAACTTGCTTGCTATGTTATGTCAAAATAAAAATGTCTCATAACTTTACTGTCAGACATTCATTTGTGCTGTGTGGCTTGTTAATGTTCAGACATCCTATTAATAGAACATGGTTAGACAATGTTACCAGTAATTAATTGGCTTCATGAAATGTCCCTTAACCATAAAAAAATAGGCAAATACAGGCAAATGAAAAAAAGAGAACAAAGACATTGACACTGGCAAGTCTACAGTCATATGTGCATGTGAAGCAGATGTCAGAATCCAGTTGACATATTAATTTGAGGTCCAGCTTGCATGTAGAATGCATGGGGATTAACAACCAACCAAATATGCACAGAATCCTGCTGGTTTGGCATTGTGTGTCACTGTGGTAATCAAGCCTATATGCTCAAAGTTAATCTATTGGGTGTTTGTGGCTTGGACAAGTGCCATGCAGGTCCAGCATGCCAGTGTTTCAGGTGGAGGAGTCAGCAATTCCAGTTAGGTTGAGGCTCCCAATGTGTAAATACTCTTTAGGTGCCACATGAAGGGAAAGAACAAAGGAGTGCTGCTTGGAAGTTACATAACCCCCAGTTTATACCAGATGCATCTACATAACGTAAGTATGAAGGGCTAGCGAGAAACTACAGAGTCTATTTGACACACCAAAAAACTTCCCCAAACTTACGTAGATTACGTAAAATTTAAGCACAGAGTTTGCCATGGGATGGCACTATTCCTGGACTGCATCAATTTAAGATCTGGGAAGAAAACTGCAGGTCTGAATGTTAGAAGAAATCAACATTTTACAAGCAGCACATTGGGGGCAATAAATCTCTAAAGCAGAAGGCCAGATGATGCTTCAGCATGCTATAAGCCTTGACAGTGGTCCACCATCAGAACAATTTCACCATAGTATCCAGTTTTCCGTTTCATGCCATAAACAAAGCTTAAGAAAATTTTGCAACACAAATTCATTACTGACAAATATCGTTGAGTCAAAAGTTCTAACATATGCAAACAGCATTTGTGTGGACATTGGCAGAATGAAGCTTTATGAGCCTTAGAAGCTTTTTGCTGCACAGAGTTGCATTACTGAAACTATCCAGGCAAATAGAAACCTCTTTGATGACTGTGGAAGAAGAGGGCACCAAATTGAACATCGTTGTTATTTTTCATTGATGATTCAAGTCATTAGAAACTGTGAGGTATGACAGTATTAAAATAAGCTAGTATGTAAAAAAAATACTGTAGCAATGGAAGGTTAAGGACTGGATTACATATTGTAGGAGTTTGTGATAATTATATCAACAAAGTATAGCATGCTAGTAAAATGAGTTTATGACGATAAATTAAGAGTAATTGGTCAGGATGTTCATGATTAGGAAGGGGGGGAAAACTATCATAATTCCAAGAAATCCATTCAGGATAGACCTGGATATGAATACAGAAGCTTCTGGCTGAAGGCCAAATGTGCTGAAGGCCAACATGGAGGCACTCTTACAGCCAGTCTTCCATTGCAGAAGGAACGGATCCAAGTTAAATTATTTCCTTGAAATAATAAGTGATGTAGGAGGAAGTGACCTATAAACAGTAATCAGCAAGTGGCCATTTACAGAAAACTGAGTAAGGTCAAGATACCAACTCCCAGCTGGCTATCTATCTGTCTATTCCTCCCCCATCCTATCACTCTAAATACAACATTTTTGCACGTACTCTAACACAAATGACAAGGCGTAAGGAACAAATGTTTTCACTGCCTGCTCTGTGATCCACAGACTATTATTCTTTACAAAGTTTATTTTAAAAATCCACATGAATTTATCTTAATGTCTTTAAAGGTTGCCTTGTCCTTCCACTTCCTGCTGGTGGTAGTAATACATATATAGGATGAATCATGTGGGGAAAGTACACAACACCCTGATTATTTATTTGAATAATATAGGTGTTGTATGTGTTCTGTCAAATCAAAATGAAATCATCATCCTCAAATGAATACTTTTCCCCTTGAAAAGCAAAAGCCCTCTATCTCAAAACTGCTGATCCACTGGTATCTTTCATGTAAGCTCACCTGATATAATCTGTATAGGATGAATCATGTGAGGAAAGTACACAACACCCTGATTATTTATTTGAATAATATAGGTGTTGTATGTGTTCTGTCAAATCAAAATGAAATCATCATCCTCAAATGAATACTTTTCCCCTTGAAAAGCAAAAGCCCTCTATCTCAAAACTGCTGATCCACTGGTATCTTTCATGTAAGCTCACCTGATATAATTTGAAAAAGATATGTATACACCTATTTAAATTTCAGCATAAACCCATTAGGATTTTGAAGAAGATATAAGCTGAGAAGCATATCCAAATCATGTGGATTATTTTCTTTGGAGAAAAAATAACGCCATTGCTATTAACTACAGTCATAAGAGACGTTGCATAGAACAGTGGTCCCCAGCCTTGGGCCTCCATATGTTCTTGGACTGCAACTCCCAGAAGCTTTCGCCACCACCTCTGCTGGCCAGGATTTCTGGGAGCTGAAGTCCAAGAACATCTGGAGGCCCAAGTTTGGGGAAAGTTAGTTGTGTTACTTGTGTTGGTCACCATCATTTAAAGTATATACTTGAATGCATCTGGGAAGAGTTGACAATGGAAAAACTAAAGCACAAGCTGAAGCTTAAAGAAAATTAAACCAAGGCCAGGCAGAACTGGATTCCTAAAAAAGGAGGAGGGGAGATGGATATGGAAGAGGCACAGATTAACAGGCTGCAAATAAATACCTATAATTTCTCCATGAGGTTGGCAAGTTTTTGGGTCTGAGTCCCAAGCCCGAGTCTGAGTCTTTGGTACCAAGTCCCAAGCCCAAGTGCTTATTGAAAACAAGCTGCCCCCCAAGAAAAGGGAGGGAGTGGGTGGGTTCTGAATTGCAAGTCAAGTCTGAGACATTGAAGAAAAATCCAAGTCGAGTCACCAGTGTGATTTAAATCTGACTTGACAGCCAGCCCCGCAACTCGAGTCCCTATCCCTGATTAAGGACATATTTCATAGAATCATAGAATAGTGAAATTGGAAAGGGGCCTACAAGACCATGAGGTCCAACCCCCTGGTCGACACAGGAATACAAACCAAAGGGTATCTGCCAAGTGGTTGTCTAAGTTTCTCTTGAATGCCTCCAGTGTTGGAGTACTCACCACCTCTCAAGTTAATTGATTCCACTCTCTTACTGCTCTAACAGTTAGGATTTTTTCCCTGATAATCAAAATCTGGCCTCCTGCAACTTGAGTTCATTGTTGCGTGTCTTGCACTCTGGGATGATTGAGAAGTGATCCTGTTCCTCCTCTGTATGACAACCTTTCAAGTATTTGAAAAATGCTATCATATCTCCCCTCAGTCTTCTTTTCTTAAGGCTAAACGTGCCCAGTTCTTTCAGTCTTTCCTCATAAGGCTTGGTTTCCAGCCCCTGATCATCCTTGTTGCCCTCCTTTGAACTTGTTCCAATTTGTTAGCGTCCTACTTGAAGTGTGGTGTCCAGAATACTCAGTACTCAAGGTGAGGTCTAACCAATGCTGAATGGAGGGGGACTAGCACCTCATTGTCTGTGTTCTGGTGTATGATAGTTGAGTATTTGTAGCTGTGGGGTCAGCTTTTTGTCCTTTTCAGGAGACTGGGTGATTATGCTGATCAGGGTGTTTTTTGTTATGAGTGTATTGTTGTGATAAGCGGGGGAGATGGTCTGTCACTGTGGTTGATGGGTGGGTTAGCTAGTCTTTTGTGTGCAATGATCACTAATCCTTGTGGTTGGGTAGAGTTCGTTGACCTTTTGCAGGCTGTATTTTTCAGTGCTGGGAGCCAGGCTTTGTTGAGTTTTAGACTTTCTTCTTTTTTGTTGAAGCTCTGCTGGTGTTTGTGGATTTCAATGGCTTCTCTGTGTAGTCTAACATAATGATTGCTGGTGTTGTCCAGTACTTCTGCTTTTTTAAATAGAATTTCATGTCCAGCTTGTTTCAGGGCATGTTCAGCTACTGTGGATTTCCCCAGTTGTTTTAGTCTGCAGTGTCTCTCATGTTCTTTGATTCTAGTGTGGATGCTGCATTTTGTGGTCCCAATATATACCTGGCCACAACTGCAAGTTATCCGGTATACTCCTGCAGCGGTGAAGGGGTCCCTTTTGCCCTTTGCTGACCGTAATACTTGTTGTATTTTTATGGTGGGCTTGAATATTGTTTGTAGGTTGTTTTTTCAAAAGTTTCCCCATGCGGTCCGTGACCCCTTTGATGTATAGCAGAAATCCTTTCTTTGTGGGTGGCTTTCAGTTTCAGTTTGATGTTGTTTTCTCATTTTGATGGCTCTTGTGATTTCATTCTTGGAGTAGCCATTTGCCTGTAGGGTCCAATTCAGATGGTTGAGTTTGGTGCTGAGAAATTGAGCTTCACAGTTCTGATTCGCACGGTCTACCGGTGTTTTGATTATGCCTCTTTTTTGTCATGGGCGGTGGTAAGGTTTTTTTTGTGTGTGTGTGTTTTCTGTAGACCTTGTGTCCCAATAGGAGGTCAGGTTTGCATATTACCATGACATCTAAGAAGGGGAGTTGTCCCTCTGTTTCCTTTTCCATGGTGAATTGTATATTTGGGTGGATGCTATTGAGATGGTTTAGAATACCCAATTTTGTGAAAAAGACAATAAGCTGATCCCACAGCTACAAATACTCAACTATCCTACACCAGAACACAGACAGAGTTCTAACTCCTGTCCTCTGAAGATGCCAGCCACAGAGACTGGTGAAACATTAGGAAGAAAAACCTTCAGAACACAGCCAAACAGCCTGAAAAACGTACAACAACCATTAATTTTTTAGACTGCATTTTTTGGCACTGCTTGCTGTTTGAGGTATATTTTGCCAAGTTATTTTGCTCATCTGTGATCTTGCATAATAATTACTTTTTACAAAAATGAAGACCAAAGCACAAGATAGAAGTGAAAAAGTGCTCCACAACAGCAGTCTATGTTTCTACCTTCAGA